TTACATGTGACTGAAAAGGAAAGCTATTTGAAACTGGGGGGAGGGTACAGTAAAGCCCTGTTTGTTTTGGTTCTTGGGAGGATACAAATGCAAGCTCTCCCCACTCCCCTCAAATGATACACTTTCTTATGGGAAATTAATAGCCCTCTCACCATACTTAATAGTTAAAAAGAAATTCCAGAATGCAACTCCACACCAGAAGGCACCTGCAATTCCAAATCTCAGATATTCTAAATCTCTTAATATTGAGCACAACCGTGAAGCAGTAACTCTAATGAGTGAGCTCTAATGTACACAGAGTGTACACAACAGACAAAATATCAGCAGTTGAGCTCAGAAAACCACATCATAGAGGAAGGAGCTGGATCAATGGGAGGAAGACACTGTGGGGTGGGGTGAGAAGGGGAGTGTGTAGTACTCCCAGGAGAGAAAGAGCACAGCAAAAAAGAGGCAGGGGAATGAGAAAGGGAGTTTATAAGGATTTTTAAAGATGGTGGTACAGCTCTTCCAAAAACAAGAGTCACTGAACACCAAGTCCCTGTGTAGGGCCTCTGGAAGTTCTTCGTGCCACCTACACCAGAACTAATAGACGAGGACAGAACAAAATGGGACCAGGGCACCCCCTGTGTGAGGAAAGAGGCTGGCAGTGATGAGCGTTCCTCAGGGGCCAACACAGTCTGAGGGCTTCACATGCCCTTTTCTTTGTCCTCACAGCACTTCTGGATATGGCACTGCATATGCAGAGGGTCCTCCTTGCCCACACAGAGCAGCAGGTCTGGGACCCAGGGGGCTCCTGTCTCCAAAGGCCACCTCTGGGCCTCAGGGTAAGCTGCATTCTGCCTGGTCAGAGCTAGACAAACTCACGGTAGAGCAGGCTTACAAATGCTCGCATGCGCCATCTCATTGTTGAGCAAACTCAACTTAGTCCACAGTGTGTGATTAAACTACTTTCAAGTAAGTCCCTTTTAATTACAGGTTTAGACTGTATTCAGAATACCCAATTCCAGTGAAAGCTGCTGGCTATTGTGACAGGAGACCAGAGACCACCAAAGGACAGACTTCCCTGAAATGTGGAGCAGACTTGGGGCTCTGGGATGTACACAGTGAGTTTGAGAGGACCTCCCAAGCACGCAATTACTTTCCAGCACCTTCAGTTAGTCTCACTTTAATAATGATCTGAGAGGTCCTGAGGATCAGAGAGAGCAGAAGGGGCTCCAAGGCCCCAGATGTTGGTCATTTAAAAATACTGTATAACTTCAAAGATTGCCTGGATTAACAAATAAGCCAAAATACTCGGTTCCATATGTGCAGAAACAATTGATGGCAATAGAGAAAAAGGACAAGAGAGAAGACAGAGAAACGTTCTGAGAGAGAGACAGAAACAGAGGTAAACAGAGACAAAACCAGAGGGGTGGGGAGGATATATTCACTTCTAGCACTGCAGGTCATCTAAAGCAAACCAGATTACAGGAAAACAAGGTGATTCCTACCACGCTGTGAAGATGAGCCTTGTTCTTTGCAGTTATTTGGGAGCGTTATGGCAGCATTTCCGTGGTTACCCATGATAACATTGATGGGAAGCATTCACTGAGGCCCCAGTGTGCATCAGGTCTATATGGGGTCCTTGTCGGACATTATCTCACTTAATCCTTAAAAGAAACCTATGAGGTAGTACTACGGCTATCCCATTTTACAGATGTGGTAACAGCTGGGGATAGTCAGATAAGCTACCCAGGTATGAATACCATCTAATGACAGGACCTGGGTCCAGTCCTGGGTCTTGTGCATTACAACCATACTGCCAACCACTAGGCTCTGCTAACCCATTCTATATTTGCACCAGAGTCTGCTCTCCATGAAAGCTTTTCCCTCAGTCCTCAACTAAAAACACAGAGCCCCTAGCAGTTTGCTCGTTTCAAACTTACTTAACAAAGAAAAATACTCTTCTGGACTACCTGGGAAACTGCATTTTTCCTCTCTCCTCTCCAGTGTAAAGCAACATTTAGTTGTGTACGTAGGAAGAACCAACCCAAACCCATTCATCACAAGGGAAGGCAAGTCGTATGTGCTAACCCTGGCTTTCAGCACATCATTGTATGTTTCCCCTGGCTACAAAAAGTATAATTCCTTCAATAAAAACTTTCTATCTAAAAATAAAATCATGGCAAACTCTGCAATTACACTTCTGAGTTGGAGACGTTTGCTTTCCACTCTATTTTCCCTGAATGCGGAAGAAGGTCCAATTTGCTGGTCTGCTAATGGGTTGCGCCAAAGGCCCATTTGTAGCATAATGAACTGGAAAACCAAAGCTATGTAGGTTTGAATCACTGTGTGGTTGTTCCAGGAGTGCTGTGAGTAGTTTTATTTTAAATCAGCTGGATGCTACTTATCTCACCTGTCATTTGTACAGTGGGGCCCTAATAAAGGTTTGCCACACTCCAGCCCCAGGATCAGCAGATGCTGCTTAGAGGCAAATGTTGGCAATGTGCTCTTTGGCCAGTTTTCCTCCTCATGAGTCCATTCCCAAACTTTCCCCTTTCTTTGTCTCTCCCTTTGCTGTTCTGCATCTCCCAATTATAGGACACCACCATGCTTATTTGGGGAGTGCTGGACTGCCACTGTGACTTGGATTTATCAGAAAGGTTGCAGAAGGGTTCCTAGACACTATAGACTGGTGGCTCTTATTTTCTCAGCCGGTAGTTTCCAAAGGCATCGTAGTATCGTAAACAGTTATACTCGAGGAGAGGTACACAATTAACTGGGGTTGATATATAATTTTGGTTAGGGGATTTTACATCTAATTCATCAGGGTTCTTTAAGGGACATGTATGTGCACCTCCAGGTATTGGAGGGAATGAATAAGATGATTATATTAGCTTTTAGAAAGTGTTTTACAATAATCCGAAGAGAATTTTAAAACACAATGAGCTGGGAAAGATGTTTTATCATGATTAGGAGTCTAGCCTAGAGAAAATAAACAGAAGATTGAGACCAGTTGATATAAATGAACAGTCAGATATCTAGAAATGGGTAAACATTTTTATAAATAATAAAGAGAAGGAGGTGCCCAGTAAACTCTTTGGGTTTGTAGATATCAACTCCCTCCCTATAAATGCCTACTAGAGTAAGTCACTAGACCTCCAGGAGAAGGCATGCAAAGTAACAGAAGAGTTTTTGTGAAAAGTGTAAGTTACATCATATAATATTCCATCATTATTATCAAAATTACGACAAGCAAGGGTCTTGAGAATCCCTACAGGTTATTCCCTGAAGATATTTAAGCCACTGCAATGCTTTGACTTAAAGGCATCCTCAAGATGGCCACTGGGGCTGAAGTCACCAGGAAGCCTATCAGAAATCTAACAAAGGCTGTCATGTGATCTTCTAGAAATCCTGGTCTGCCCCCACATAGAGAACAAGGTGTGGTTTTGATCATCACACCCACAGAGGGCTACAGTAGATCAAGAAATTATCCAGAGAAAGCCAATCAAAAATCAAGGGAGCAGAAGTAATAACAAATAGCAACAACTATTACAGATACAACAATAATATTTGCTCTACACCAGGCACTATTCCAAGGCACTATTCCAGGCACTATTCCTGGTATTGATCCATTTAATCCCTCAACTGTCCCATAAAGTAGTTACTGTTATCAACCCCATTATACAGATGAGAAAACTGAGGCATAGAGAGTTTGATTAGCTTGTCTGAGTCACGATGCTAGTATTTGCACCCAGGCCTTCTGGTACCGGATTCCCGGCTCTTGACTCAGGCTAGTTGCAAAATGGTAAAAGACTGAACGAAATTCCATGCTCTTCTTGGGGGCAAGGTTAAAAGTAATTTATCTAAGTTAATAAAACCAAGACAAGCCCTGATGGGGAAAACAGGGACTTTCTACCAAATTGTAGGTTTTTAAAGTCAAGATGAAGTAACTTTCAGACAAATAAAAGGAAAACAGTTTTGCACAGCAGAAGCGCATTATAACATTTTATTTTCCTCAAGAATTGAGCCTACAAATTCTAATAGACTCAGAAAGAGTGTTGGCCATCGATGATGTGTTACTAAGGGAAACAAGGTTGGGTCTGAGCTAAAAGAGGATTCCCGGGCTTAATGCCCAGAATTATCCGTGGTCATTTCTATTAGAGGCAGGCTATGGGACTGGAGAAATGTGGGTCTTTCCCAGTGGGCAGAGCCTTTGTGTAACCCACCCTTGCTGTGACTTGGGTCTTCTACCATCTCTTTGCCAACTTCATCTCTAAGAAGCTTCAGACCAGGAAAGAAGATGGTCTGTGGGTGTGACTAGCAGCTCTCAAGTCTGAAGTGACAGGAAGTGCTTGCCAAGTAATTCCAAGGGGCTGAGACCCATGTCAGCTGCAAAAATCCTGGCTGGGCCAATGGTGGCCTAACAGTAGAGTCACGCCTTACGGAGGACCTCTGTCCTGGAGAAAGCAAGTGGACCCAGAGGGAAGGTCTTGGTGGCCTTTGGGAAGAGCAACAATCCTAACTGTAGGCCCGGAAATCTTTCAGCCTCTGCCTCTTTTCCCCTCCGTGGGCTTCAGGGGGCCTCCAACTCCCCCACTAAGTGCCTGTCTGAGCAGTTGGGAGAACTGGACAAAGCACATCCGGCTACATTTGGGCAACGGGGGGACCTCGGGGTAACATGGTTTTATTTCTAGCGCCTGCTGATATGGCAGCTCCAGGCAACAAAGAATCCCCTCCGGTGTGTGCGCTCCAGGAGGAGAAGGCCTGGGAGCAGAGGTGCCGGAAGACGGAAAAAGCAAAAACAGATCTGGTAACACTAGGCTTGGTGAGTGGGATTCGTGGCAGGAGGCACTTGAAATATTAACTAGGATTGAATTGCTCAGTTCCGGAGGATGAGAGAGATACACGTGCTGACTGTTTAGCACAGTCCCCTCCGAGGCCATCAGCCCCCCATCAGCTACAGACATTCTACGGCCCACGTGAGAGGTGGAACAGAGGCAATTTCGGCGGCTACTCACCTACGCAGTTATCGCAAAGGCTACAGTGAGAGGCACGAGGGGGCCGGAAAATCTTGCAGGTGAAACAGTACTTAAGTTTCACAGTCTGGCCATTGATGATGACTTCTTTGGTTCTGGGAGGTGGGCGGTACCCCCCTGAACTGGTGCCGTTTGCGATATCTGTGGAGAAAAGAAGAAAAAGAGCACACGCCCTTAACACAGTCGCTTGTCCTCTGCAGGCTCTCGCACCTAGGAGAGAGGCCCTGAGTCTGCATTTCTAAGGGCAGTGGCCACACTTGGCCTTGGGACACGTACGCCTTTCTGGAAGGCACCTGACGCAGAGGGCCTGCTGTCCCACAGCCTTCCCGCTCCTTGCCAGGACTGGAGATGCCCGGACTATGTCGTGCAGGTGGGAGTGGCCACGTGACTGAGCTCTGGCCAATGGGGTTCGAGCACACATGGCCGGGCCCAGCCAATGGGTACCTCCCCGTGGAGTCCCGCCCACTGTCTCCCCTCCAGGCAGGGGCACCTTGGAACCACAAACTGGGGACCCTGGATGGCTGTGTGGAGTAGAGCTGCCTCTCTGACCCCTTCACCCTCCATACTGTTACGTGGACACCAAATTCCCACAGTGTTAAATTGCTGAAGGCCCGGGATTTATTTGTTACAGCAGCTAGTGTTGCCCTAATTAATACAGAGGGTGATACTGATACCAAGATCTATCTCCCACCTTGTACATTGGCTTCCTCAAAAAATCTGGTATTGGATGGAGGGAATATAAATTTTATATATATATATATATTCAAAAATACGTGCATAAATATACATTTAAATATATATTTAAAGGTATATTATATATACCCAAAAATATGTTTAAATGTATATTTTAAAAATAATTTCCATATTTTGTTTATTGTCTGACCAGCATCTTTCATTATCTTTTAGAACCGGTTTTTTAAATGTTGAAGAAAATACAAATATGTATATTTTTTAAAGTTTCATTTTATCTTACAATCTGGTTCTTGTCTCTGAGTTCACATTAGAATCACCCAGGGAGCTTTTAAAGTTCCCCTAATGCATGGGCCCAACCCCAGACCCATTAAATCAGAATTGCCCCCAGGGTGATTCTAATGTGCTGCAGGGTTGAGAACCCCTGCTCTACAGGAAGATAAAACATGGGAGTTTTATTCTCATCTAGACCTCTCCCAGCCCTGTGAGGCCTGCCAGAAAGAATTCGGGGCAGCTAGCTACGCAGCCAAGAGCAGGAGGCCACAGGGGATGAATAGCAAGAATATCTAAGGGCTTCAACAGAGACTCTGCAGCCAATAGACAGGCAGGGCCGACCCTAGGGGCTGGAGGAAATCTTGGGAAACTTCATGGTGTTCTTGAAACAGAGTCAGTAGCATTAAAGGTAGCTGTCCCTTTTAATTCATACACACTGAAAGTACACACAATCAGACAGCAACAGTTGCAACATTTGGTAAATTTGCCAAGGGGTAGCAGTGAGTCCAATCACCCACTGAGGCCCCCACAAACAGCCTGAGCAGGAGTTATGGGAAGAGCTTCCGAAACTACTGATCTTTCTGTCCTGCCCTCAGTCTGATTTCATCGGCGGGGTACCTTCTGCCATCAGCGTGGTAAAAACTCCCCGGGGATGGTGGTATCTGCAGAGCTGCACCCCCTGCCCGCCTCCCTGCACGGACAGAATCCACCATGCACGCATCATGATATCAGGGGCCCCTCACCCTTCACCCCAATCTTCTTTAAGAGGAGGACAGAGGCTTGAAAACCTGCCGCAGCCCTTTGGCCTAAGTGTTGGTATTTGTGAAAATACCAACCCCAGTGGTAGGGCAAGCATTTTGAGCGGTTACCAGCCATTTTCTATTCATGGAAAATGAAAGTTCTCCAAGCGGGTTATGGAAGGACAAAACAGAGAGTTCGGGAACACCTGAGGGAGAGAAGGTGGTGGGAGGGCAGGGAAACGGGAAGACTAAGGAGCAGCCCTCTGCTTTACCCCTTGGCTGAGGACAACCCTTCTACTTAGGATAATTAAACAGCTGTGGAGCCATCCCAAGAAGCCTGGGTGGCCTTGCCAAGCAGGATACCCTCTCTTGGCATGTGTCCCACCGGCCTGGCCCCCCAGTGGCTGCCCTATCAGACATCTCAACGGCTTCTGTAATAAGGAGAAAGCAAAGAGATGACATGGCTGTGTACTTCCCTAAGCATCCGGGTAAAAATAACCTGCTTTGAATACATCAAAGATAAGGTCAGCTCTCCAGAGACCGTGCCAACTGGGTGCCCCTGAGGCCTCAATTAATCATGACTTGGTGCCTCACTGGCCTTATGTCAGCCTGAAATCTACTGTATCAGTTCAGCTCTTGCAAACGTGGGCAGAAACCTAGAAAGCCAAATACAGGTTTAAAAGTAATAATCCAATCAATAAAATTTGTGTTAATTTAGTCAGAAAAGTTTAAAAACTGAATTGTCAAGGACAGTGTTTTAAAAAGCGGGGATGACGCACTCATCCACACTAGAACTACTAAAAAAGCCTGGTCTGAGTAGCAGTGACTTGGAAAAGGATCTGCTTGAACTTCTTAAGACAAAATAGTGATCCTGTAGTTCCAAAGCACATTTTGGAAAGATTAAAACTTTGATACAACGTGAACTGAAGGCTAGAATTCAACAGACATGGTCAACTGAAGCTTAAGACTTAAGCTAAACCCGGGGCGCCTGGGTGGCTCAGTCAGTTGAGCGACTGCCTTTGGCTCAGGTCGTGATCCTAGGGTCCTGGGATGGAGCCCCATGTTGGGCTCTGTGCTCAGCAGGGAGCCTGCTTCTCCTTCTCCCTCTGCCTGCCTGTCTGCCTACATGTGATCTCTCTCTCTCTAATAAATAAATAAAATCTTAAAAAAAAAAAAGACTTAAGCTAAACCCCAAAACTCTTTGACTAAATATCTGGAGAGCTGTGCCATCATTAACTGACTGAAGGTCCACAGAACTAGAAAAAAAAAAAAAGTCGACTGACATTTAGGACATACGGTTGACCCTTAAACAATGTTGGGGTTGGGGGGCCGACAGTTGCACAGTTGAAAATCCACAGTTGAAAATCCAAGTATAACTTTCGACTCCCCCAAAACTGAATTACTGATAGCCTATTGTTGACCAGAAACCTTACCAATAACATAAAGTTGATGAAGGTGTATTTTGTATATTTTACACATTATGTACTGGGTTCTTATAATCAAGGAAGCTAGAAAAAAGAAAATGTTATTAAGAAAATGATGAAGAGAAAGTTCATTTACAATACTCTTCTGTATTTATCGGGGAAAAAAACCCCAACACACGTGTAAGTGGGCCCATGCAGTACAAACCCACGTTGTTTGCGGATCCACTGTATTGACTCTAAGCAAAATACCATGCCGGGGGCCGTGGAGGACCCACACATGAACAAACACAGACGTGGAGCAGAGGGGCCAGCAAGGGGTGCTGCTGGGCTGTCTGACGAGCAGAGGCTCCTGGCCGCTCTGGCCACGCCAGTCCCTCAGAGCCAGCTTGCCTGATGCCAGTCTCACAACCACGCCAGGGCCTCCCATGGGGCACACACGGTCTTCCACGCACCTGACTTGCTCTTGCCATTCAGTCTTGCAGAGCCCGTGCCAACAGCATCGTGGCCTCCTTGCGCCCCTTGAATAGGCGATGCTGTTCCCTATTTCCAGGCACGATACCTTCTCCCCTTGGGCCTCCCTTCCTGCTGTCTGCGTAGATACCCGTCATCCTTAAAGGACCGGCTTGAACTTCTCTTGGTAAGCCGAGCTGTTTCCTCCTTTGGACTTCTACTGTGCAGTTCATGTATGTATATGTGATACTCAATCACTAGGTCATGTTGTGCTAGCAGGGGCCAGTCCCGTGCTGGGAGCAGGGGCAGACTCGCTCTCTGCTGGCCGTTCTCACAGGTCGGAGGGAAGACCTGGGACCTTGCTAGGGCAACCAGTACAAGGATCTGCTTTCGGGTCTCCCCCCCAGTTGCTGCTGGAGGGCAGGGACCAGGCCTTGCCCACTTGCATGTTCCCACTGTCCGGCAGAGCGTCTAGCACACAGTAGGTCCTCAAGGCGCATGCTATATGGAAGGCCAATAGTTTTGGCAGGTGGGCATCAAAGATATCCGGATGCCCAGGACTGGTGTCCTCCACACACACACCCCAGTCTGAGCGCCCCTGCCCTTTGTCCTCTGAGCCAGTGACTCTTCCCACCCTGGGAAGTCCTCTCTCAAGATCTTCCCCTTCTCAAGAGGAGCTCTTGCTCCTCCCAAACGTGTCCCTAGCCACTGCTGGTCCTGAGGCCCATCCCCCGCAGCTCGTCTGCGCCACCAGAGAGGGCCGGGCAACTCAGGCGGCCCAACGCCTCAGGGCCCCCCAAAGGTGCCGGTTTTTTTCACATAATAAATTCAACAGCCGCCCCAGCCAACAGCGTTCAGGCATGCCTGCGTCCAGGGTAGATGTGAATAATAGGGCCTTGAAACGCAGGCCTTCCAATACCCACCTGAGCGCAAAGGAAGTTTCTCCTCAGCATTCAGACTGACGCCAGTGGCTGGTCATAAAATCTGTTCCTCGTCCCTGCAGATGACGAACCCCCGTGGCCTACCCCGTGTCACAGGGCAGAGAAGGTGGTGTTCCTGTTCGAATCCTCAATTACCCTGTGTTTTTGGTTTGGGTTTTTGTTGTTGGCAATAATTGTGCCTCTGCTTCTTGGGGCTGCTCTTTTGTGGTTTAAGTACAGCCGTTGAAAAAAGAGTAATTGAAGTCTGCAATAGCTAATGGATAAAGAACACTAGAATTTGGGGGGAGAGACCTCTAACAGTACTTCAAGGTTATATGAGTCAGTATTTCTTAAGGACATTTTTATATGCGTTTTGAAAGAGAACTTAAAAGCTTGAAATGGTCTTTTTCTTCATAAAGGGCCACCCCCCCGACCCCGGCCCCTTGCAAATTGTCAGTAGCTGTGGGTGTGGAGGCAGAAACAGTGACAGAATCCCCACCTGGCAGGAACCTCACAATCAGCAAAGAAAGAGGGGGTCTGGGGAGATGGGGAGGGGGGTGCCGTGTGCGCAGTGTGAGTCCAGGGACACAAAGTTTTTCACTGAGAGAGGAGACCCAGGCTTAGCAGAGGTCTTAAGTAAGTTG